ATTCCCAACGCACAACAATAAAAAAAATACATGAAAATCAATGAGGCCAGTTCACACCAGTGCGTTGCACTGCGTTTACCCGCGCTGAAAAAAAGTAGAGCATACTCTACTGTTTTTCAGTGCAGCGCACAAAAAAGAAAAAAAGTTGCTATAGAAACATAAAAGCAAAAGCTAAATAGAAAGAAATAAAAAAAAAACCATTGCAACGTAGTGCAACAGAGCTCAGCACGAGTAACAAAATGCACACCAGCACATGCAGCGACCTTAGAGCATCTCAACGGGCCGCACACTATGGTGTGAATAGACCCTAAGGGTTAGTTCACACCAGAAACTGCATCACAACTGCGTGCGTCTGTGCAGTTGCATTTGCGATCTCTTTTGATGCGTTTTTGATGCGTTCAGATGCGCTTTTCCCCCTGGATGATGCACAATCAATTCTGGGGGGTTTTTTTGATGCGTTCTGTTGCTTTTTGATGCGATTGCATGCGTTTTGATGCGTTCCGGTGGAGTTAGATGCAGCTAAAATAGGACAAGCAGTACTTTTTCTGACTGTATCTGAACAGACTGCAATGGTGTGAATACAGCATGAGAAAGCCCATAGGAAAGCATTGGGATGTATTTTGGCTGCAGCAGTCAAACTGAACGGACTGCATCACAATATGGTGTGAACTGGCACTAATGGCCTGTTCACACGACGTCCGGATTGTGTCCGGGCCAGAACCGTGCGCTCCTGCACCCAAAATGCATCCCAATGTATGCCTATGTGTTTTATGGGCTACAGTTCTTACGTGCGCGTTCCGGTCCCGACCGAGAAAATGCTGCATGTCACATTTTGTCCGGTCCGGAAATGCACGAACGCAATGAAAACGCACAGCACTGCAGCTAACATACTGACAGCCCCACTCCCACAACATTTAATTTAACTGAAACGCGTCAAAAAGGCGTCAAAAACGCATAGTACTGCGTCTGCAGATCTGCTAAAGATCCGAAGCAGATCTGGTCCGGACATCGTGTGAACAAGCCCTAAGAGTCGTCAGCCTTAGTGCAAGCAGTGGGCTGAGTCTTGGGAGGAGTTATTCAAATATCAAAATCCCTTGATGGGTGGATTTCAGTGTAAAAGAGTGTAAATTAGTAGACAGGCTTCATTTGCATGCAGACCACAGGTAACATCCAAATGAAAGGACTGAAATCCAATGAATTACAGGGGTGGGTAAGGGACAGTGACACTGGGGAGGAAAGGGCTAGATGACGGGGACCCTGTCTGACTTGCCGCAGCTTCTAATGTACACTGTAAGAAGCTCACAGTGTGCAGTGAAATCAGAGGAGTTCAGCTTTAATCTCACTCTGTTTGCAGGAGGCATTAGAAATATATATATGCCAGATCCTGCTCTCCCTGTATCATCCTGCAGATCATACTGCAGTTCAGCCATGCAGACTGGTCCAAGTCCCATCCCAGGACAGTGCAGGAGCAGCATCCTGTGATATGTGTCCCCATTGTTCTGCTGCAGCCCTTGGAAGTACTTTCATGCAGTGCTCAGCATTTGAGTGACCATTTGCAATGCCCAAAAACTGTCAATAGAGGAAGGTCCTTAGTGGTGTATAAGCTCCAATTAGCACATGGCTTACACTCAGAATGTCATGTGAGCTTGGAGGAAAGTAGGTGGAGGGGTCAACATAAAGTGACAGGTTTATTTCCAGGTTCTGTTTCTGTGGTTACAAATGTCCAGTAATAAAGGAGCAGGTATAAAAAAACAAAATGTGTAAAAAATGTTCTTTACTTAGAGGACAAAAATAATATAAACCGATTTTTCTGTTTATTCATGTACATAGCTTCTGAAATGTTCAAGGTTCCTGAGTCCCATTGATTTGTATCACCTTTTGTAAAATATTCTATGCTACTTTTAGGCCCCGTTCACATTGAGCGATTTATCGCGCGGTAATGCCCGCGATATCGCGGCTATTTACCGCGAGATATCGCTCTTCAGTGCATCTCAATGGGGCAAAGGGTCCTGCTGTCGCGGGTCGTGTGTCGCTACAGCAGGACCCTTTTTGGAGCGGATTTTGCCGCGATTCTCGCTTGCTCAATGCAAGCATTTGCGCGCTATCGCACAAAATGCAAATCACGCGACAAACGCGTGAATTGCGCAATGTGAACGGGGCCTTATGCTACTTGCTTTAACCTTGATGAGTGTAGAATTATGTCTTTTTGTAACTTTGGGTTCATTTTTACATCCTATGACGTAGCAGACAATTGCACTGGTCTGATGTATTTATTGTAATAATCCTAAACACACTTCTAATATCAGTTACATGAATTATTCCCATTGTCACCCTTTTATTTCTTGCTATTAAAAAAAATATGCTAAGTTAAATGCAACGGCCAGTCAGACTGAAAAAAAAAAATAACATTGAAATACAAAGCGACCTACAAGGAGTCTGTGTTTCATTTTGGAAGAGCTTTAGTATACCATGCTGTCAACTCTGTTGTGTTAAAGCATAACTTAAATTTCTTTCCCACACTTCCCGCCTCTAGAAAATGTGTTTTTTTAAAAAAAATTGTGATTAAAAGTCCAAATTTCCTTAAACTGCAGTGATAGGTTGTGTCCAAATCTTCTCTCTGCGGGTTTGTGGTATGGTAGGGTACTGCTTGCATCACCCACTTCACTTCCTAGCGAGATGGACACTGACCGTTCCTTCTGAAAGGGTCCATCATATGGTCCTCATCACCATGTGTGGGGCAGCAGTATGACCAGCTGGCTGCACAGAGAGCTGCTTTCGATCACAGGATTCCATTGCCATTACGGCGGATGTTTGGTAAGTAAATAAGGACAATCTCAGAGGACAACCCAATCTCCGATGCTCATTCTCTGCTGTAGCAACTCTACAACTAAACTTTTAATGAGCAAAATGTATCAAATGGGGCGCTTGGGTGGATTGCCAGTGTACCAGGTTATTTTTTGGAGTGTAGATTTATTTCTGTTTAATATTTGCTAAGTAAATAGGGGTCTTAGAAGTTTTTCTAACAAGCTGCTATTGCTTCTAAGAAGTCTGCAGTACAGACTTCTTCTATACAGGAGCGTTGTCAGCATTGGCAGCAGACCATGAATCCTCTGTTATTTTGATAGCTAAGTCCTGGTAATTTTCTGTTGTTCCTGGTAAGGTGGTGCCTTCAGGCCTTATGGTAAGTCTGACCCTGGCTTGCAAAAACGTGTAAAAATACACATTTTGTTACTGCAATACATGTCAGTTTGTCTTGCCATTTGTTAAGACTTTTTCTTGGCACCCCAGCTCACATATGTAGTTTAAGCAAATGCACTTAGCCTTCCACGCACAGGACACAGATATGATTGCACTGTGCATTACTATGCGCGTTGTTACCAATAAAAGATCCAGGTATTTGTTTTGTGCATAAAGTTTGTTAAGGGCACATTTAAAGCAAAAGAGATGCCTTGAGCCCCAACACATTAATGCATCAACATTAATGCATGCATCTGTGTGAATACAGCCTTAACCAAACCACAGATAAGCAGTTACTGCATTTATTATTGCTAATCATGGATTAGAATCTGATAATATCTTAGCCTATGTATTCCCAACTGCCTTTAATGCTTGTGGTATGGTAAAAATGAGCTGTGCTCATGGGACATATTTAACGTTAATGCCACTCCACAACCACACCTGAATGATGTACCCTTTCATTTGGTGTCCACCCACTTTCACACTTCTCCTTAGTGACTGGGAACACTCAAACTAGAATATACTATATTCCATGCCATATACTCACACCCACTTCAGGTCAGTTGCTGGATTTACAGTGTGTGGACATGACCATAAAAAATAAAAAAAAACACTGAAGAAAACAGAAACCTATTTTATTGTGCT